TTTACCCAGCGCTGCATGTGGGGGTTTAGAGTTTCCCAAATCCAAATGACAGAGCAAAGCTGCAGCGTGGTGCTGGGGATAGTGAAGGGAAAGACCCCTGGCAGTTGTGAGCCATGTTAATGAAAGTGACACCGCTAATGAACTGAAGGTGAGCAAGGGACACTGAGCAGCTCCAGGAGATGCCATCGAGTGCCRTGTGTGAGAGCGCTCATCAACGACAAACATACTGTAGCAGGGAAACAAGTACCGGGTTGGAAAATGAAAGCTGCAAGGAAACCAGGATGGGTTGGCAGAGMGCCCAGGTCAGAGCCTTGCCCTAGGTCAGGGATGTGGCAGGGCAGCCTTCTTTGCTGGAAACAACTCACTTAAGCTGCCACAGCTCTCTTCATGGAAACTRATTTCAGGATGAATGATTTATATGGCTTTACTCACAAACTGGTTCTGATTGGTTAAGTCAAGTGACTATCAGCCTGATTAAAATCAGCCCAAGAGGGTTTGTGCACATTGGTTCAGTTTAACTTTTCAGTTAAAATAACCCAATTGTTTTTTCTGGTGGTGTTTTTGAATACAGACCAAGCCTCACCATGATACCTGGCTATCTCATCTTTGGACAATTGACACACAACATTTTTTCCTTGGCTTTCACTAAACACAGTAGTTTAGTCATGGAAATCCTAAGATAGCTGAGGATATTTAAGGCTCATAAGTGGGCTAATTGCTGGGCAAGGGAACATTTGAGCATATAGCCAGAAGTAATGCCCATCAGTCACCATGACCGAGACGGCCACCATCATAGAGCAAAGCCTGGTTCTTGTGGCTCAACCACTCAGTACCTGACAGCTTCTCCTAGAAAAGAGCAGGTGCAGAATCTCACGAGGGCTGGAAACCCTTCAGAAGCCTAAAAAGGCTCTTGCAGAAGAGCTGGGAAACCACGGGCAAACACTGCTCATTGTAAACGTAAACACTGCTCATTGTGTCCATTAATGTAAAAAAAGGATAATACAATCAGTCATGCAAAGAATAAAACCCACTTTTTTCAAAAGCCACAGGTGAAAAACTGATCATGTAAAACACCCATAAATTATATTTTTAACTGAGTGTGTTAGTGGAATTTGTGTTTGCTAAACAAATTCTTGACAGCAAAGCAAAGAAAAATTARTTTAATATGGCTGGTATGTTTGGTTCTATTGCTCACCAAACAAATGTTTTATTTCACCTATATGAATGCACTTCAGGAAGCTGCAACTGCAGCTTTTTGAAAAGGATACCAGGCGGTCAAAAACCACATTTTCCTTGCACAGAAGTTGGGTAAATGCTGCATGATGACTATTCCACTACTCTTGTCTGGGAAGGCAGCCAAACTGATAATACAGCACGTCTGCTTTCAGTACGACATTTGTATATTCTTTTGAAACACTGTTCCACCTTGGTTTGGAACAGAACTTTTAGTGGGGCCATCACTTAAATTCCCCACTTACCTATTGATTTGTGTCCCATTAACACTCTCACACRATAATGCAGAACATCCCCACACTACTGACCTCTGCAAAAAGCTGGCTTCACTATAGTGGCATCAAACACAAGGAAACCTTAACTGCCTGCTGCTGCATGTGGTGTGAAAGTAAATATTTTATCACCTTTGTCAGCAGAAAGCTGCGTACAGAGACTCAGGAAGCACCTCTGGTGGTTAACGCTGCTCTGAGCTGCCTTCAGTTTCTATGGCACCAAGAGTAAAAATACCATTGGCACGCACACRCACACACACGCACRGAGCARAGGTGTTCCARMKCTCCCCGTGCCCCTTTCCTGATCCACATTTACAGCAGCTCACTGCTCCATCAGGGCCTGTGAGAAACCACTGAGTGCATCCAGGACAGCACCTACCAGCATGGATTTTGCACCTCTGCCTCTGGAGGGTTTCTGTTTATTTTTTATCTGTTTGGGAAGGAGGGCTTGGGCAAAGTAGCAAACTATCATCTATGTGGGAAGCTGCTAGAAAATGAACCACCTGAACCCATTTTCCCAACCTCTTCTCCTTCCCTGAGAGCAGACTGAAACAGCAGCATTTGGCCCACTAAGGATCCACAAGCCTTTGTACTGTTTTATAGATATAAAAGCATGCTACAACCATTGTAAATTTAAATGTGCCAAGAGAAGTGRCAAATTTAAACCTGACTAGGCAAAATTAATATGCATATTAACTTTAAYTATTGGATGAATTACAATTTTCACATAATCCTCTGCCTCTCCCCATGCAAGTGCTTCATAGTGCTCAGTGAAAAGGCAGCTGGTCTGTTTTCCCTTTGTAGCCTCCATATCATACCCTGAATGATCTGTTCCTCTTACAGAACAATTATTTAATACTGCCTTTTTTAAAGGTGGTCATCAATTACATATGTAAGTGCTCCACATTATCACTGGGAGGTAAGWGGCTTTTTATACATATATATGTTATAAATCTGTAAATATGTATGCATAGATGTTTTATATAGGTATCTCATTATTACTTTATATATGAATGATGTTTATGTGTGTTATGTTATGTTTATGTGTTACCAGTAAATATTTTTATAGGTATGGTTTAGTGTASTAACCTGTATAATTAAAATAACTTAAATACTTTGGTGTTTTCTAAGTGGGCAGCTGCTTTGAAGCATCCAGTTTGCCAAATCTGGGATATCCTTATTTAGCGTATTTAGCATTACAAAGCACATCTCAGTCTCAGCATGGATTTGGCTGATATAATTTATACTTCCCAGGGGTCAGCTGCTCCACAGCCAAAGCAAAAAGGGCCCAGAGTTTATAAAGATTTTYCCTAAATGCTATATTTAGCTGTACATAGGAATTCTCCAGATAGAAGGAAATTCCTGTTCTCCAAAACAAGTTGCCCCTTCTCATTTTTATATTCATAGGTATCTATGACTACTTTTTGGGGTTTTTTCCTCACTTGGATGATGCTCAGCACAGTGGCTGGTGTTTGGGTGATGGGGAAGATGGTGCTTGCCGGGAGGAAGGCTGCTGGGGACCCCCATGCTGGAGCTCTTTTTCACCGGAGATGAGAGCACAATGGACTTTTCAAGAATRTTGGGAAGCAGCTGGACTTCAACCTTCCACTGTGACTGTATTAAATCCCTTTTAATACAGTTATTGCAGAATTCAGTCGGCCATGGGGCTGGGAGCTTTCCAGGAGAATCACAGTGAGATGTTCCCAGTGTACCGAGACAAGCCATGGTTGTGACAACAGACACAGCCCCTGCTGCAGCCACAACACTCCGGAACATTCTTCCCACTGATGTGCCAGACTGCAGCCTGGCACTGAAGGCAGGTASAAAACCTTCCTCTGCCCTAGGAATTAATGTCCCTTTTCCCTCTGAGGGTTCTGCAGCAGCACCTCTGCCTTCCCTCAGGGATTCCAGCTGCCCAGCAGTGCTGCCAAGGGTTTGCTTGCTCTTTTTTAGGAGGTAAACTGTGCTGCTTGAGTGAACAGGAGCAACCTGAAGTGCATCCAGTATTGCCTGGCATTTCATAGTTACGGATCTCTTGGGAAAAAAAAATATCCACAACAAAACACTCAAATCACTCCACTTGTGCTGAAATCCAACAGAAATCAAATCCTCCTCGGCAGCAGCAGCTCAAGGGGGCAGGTGGCTGGAAACAAGCCAGGTGTGCCTCCTCCTCCAMTGTGGTTTGTTGGCCACGGGTTTCAGGGAACATGTTTTGTGGGAGCTTTGCCTGCTGCAACCTTCAGACAGGCAAGATAAACTGCAAATGAGGGGTGCAGCCTTTAGGRTGAGGACAGTGATGAAGAGGAGAAGATGGCTGGGGAGTGAGGGGACAGCAGGGGAGGAAGGCAGTGAGGACACAAAGACCTGTGGCCTGCACTCCCAAAACTAGCACGTGCAAAGCTTTTCACAGATGTCCAAAATAGAGTCACACTGTCCTCAAGGATGCTGGCAAACCACCTGTGTGCAGCACAGCAATGGGGACACAGGCCAGGAAAGGAATGTGTCCCCTCTCCAGTGACAAGACCAGCCAAAAGCTGGTGAGGAACAAAATGTACAAATGTAGTGATTTTCCCTCACTCCTAGGGAAAAAAATCACAAGGARTGGAAGTTAGCCCACAATAACTCCTTCCAGGGAAACCAAACTGCTTCCAGGTGGTGCTGATGAGTCCTTTGGTGAAAGTGAATGGGCTTTTAGATCCACTGGAAAGTGAAAAGTGGTATCCCCAAACCCCTGTGAAGAATGAGGGGGCCAAATAAGTATAACAGCTTGTGCCTCTTTTAATGGAAATATCACATTTATGCACATAAACACAGTAAAKTACAAAGGATTATAAAATAGGCTTAATTTCCAGCCCCTAATTCTAACATACTGTACGTTAATCCCTGAGAGCACCTGTCAATTGTCGGTCTCTTGCAAGTGGCACTGAAAATGCAAACTCCAGTGCTCAGCTGCAGCACAGGTTGCGTTTCAGATACCGAATCTGAGTGCTAAATCTTCAAAATGCTGGGTTGGCAGTAAACAAAAATTAACAGTTTAACCATTCCGTCCAGTGTCCAGTTTGAAATCTATCCTGACACCTTTGCCACAGAGAGCCAAATGATTGTCTTCCTGTTTTCCAAAGAAATGAGTTCAGCTTGTACTCTGGTCACTCCAAAACCATAACAAAATTGGTGCCCATGAATTGCATAGCACTGATGCACTTGTGGRTTAAAATCCTCTTTATATTCCCAGGACTGGGCAGGTGTATTAGCAGGTGCATATTCCTCTAGCTCTGCCTAGGAGGCTACCTGGAAATGCAGTCTGGCCAGCTCAGCCACTACAGCAAGAAATAAAAAGAAGAGGCTGTGTGGAAAAATCCTTGTTTCACACATCTGTGCTACCCTCTGTCAGCCCCCGCAGATGGGAGCTGGCAGTGCTGATCTGGGCACTAGTTTTCAATCAACTGAATTTACTTCTCCCATGACATGCAGAGTTTCATTACCTATTCAGTAGGACTATGGCCAGCCTTTGTGCTGTAGGACTAAAGGATGGAAAAGTTTTTCACTCTTTAACTGAGGGGAGAAGCTGGTGACAACAGCAGCAGCTCCAGCACAGCAACGCCTTTGGGAGGACATGCTGCAGCACATYTCAGTACAAACACGTGCAAAGCCTGAGCAAAACCTTACCCTGGGCATGTGCTCTGTGACTTGCTGTTTGCATCTGACCTCTGCTTCTGTGAGTGTGCTGTTCCTTCAGCCAGCAGCAGGTGTACAGCCCTTCCTGACCAGAATTGGCCAGGCTTGGTGTGCTGTCTGGGCTGACTGCTGGAGCAGCCAAAGCCTTCATGTGGAGCACAAGAACCTGCAGCAGCCCGAGGGAACTGCTGCTTGGGGGTGCACTTCCATGCTGGGGAAGGTTCTCTGCCAATGTGGAGACAAAGGGGTGAGGTACTGCCTTCTCTGGGCACGCAGAGGTGTCGTTCCAAAGCTTATGGTGACATTTGGCCACATCAGTGGCTGAGCTGCCCGATACTGCATCTCTGACCACAGCTCATTTTGACGCCTGGGAAAGTTGCTTGAACATCTGAAAGCTGCATAATATTCTTCTCCTGGCTRTGATCTGGAAAGTCTCACAATAAACCTGGTGAGTTTTTTAAACAGGAATTAAATATCAACCTAAAAAACATCCACTGTGCTTCACCATCTCCTTAATTCACAGTTAAAAGCAACGACAAAAAATTCCCTGAGACTAAAGAGGAGACAACAGATAATGGATAAAGGGAAATCTAGTGGGGGAGGCAAATCTTAGGTGATGGTGGCATTCAAAAATTATCTCAGCTTCTCTGTTGCTGCAAAGAAATCAGTCCCTGCCCCTGGTTTATACCTGCAGAAGATGTGAATATCTCACCTGCAGAGAAATTTCATATTAAGCCCTTTTTAGATTCAACAGAGCAAACAATAGCATTAAGAACTGCATCCATACAGACTGTATAGAGCTGTAGAGTTTAATGCCTATCCTTAAAATCTTTTTACTGGAATAGAAATAAAGTGCTTAGTATATCCAAAACAATTGCAGACCTGGATTTTCACTGCCAAACAACACTGTGGTATATTTTAAACTTTAAATTATTACTAAAAATCTTCGCAATATTGTTTACCTAAGCAAGGAGAGGGAGGCATGTCTAGTGTCAAAAGCACARCTCCTTAATTTTGCCCATTACGAAATGAACAAACACAAAATACGATCCTTTCACACACGTGCTTTTCAAGCTGTTTCTCAGTTGTTCACCAGGAGCTGAAAAGACAGGAGTCCACAAGAGGACTGCACCACTTAGAAGTTCCTGTAATCAGCAGACAGGTAATCTTAGTAAGTCTTCCCCCTCAAACAGCATCCTGCTCCACCCTCAGATATGCTGTGGCATCGCCCTTGCTGTGTTTCTGCCCCTTGAAGGCCGTGACTCAGTGTCCCAGCTCCATGARCAGAGGGCATGCACAGAGGCTCTCAGTCTGTTATCTTACTCGGATAACGAGACCAGCGGCTCCAGAACCTTCTCAGCAGCTGCCTTTGAATCAGGTCCTGCTTTGGGCAGGAGACGCCTGCCTGGGCTTTTGGGCCTCTGCTGCTCTGTTCTTCTCCTGCTCCTCTGCCTTCCTGCGCTCCTCCTTTAGCTCCTTGTATCTCCATTTGGGAATCTGCAAATAGGGGTCATCCTTYGCGCTGCTTCTCCTTCTCTTTTCCGGCTGGAAGGTGGGCGGAGGAGCCTTGCTGACGCGGACTTTGGGGATGACAAATCCYGGCCGGACGCTGCTCCTTCTGAGCAGGTGGAGCGGCAGGAGGCTTGCTTTCCTCGTGGCTACTGTGTTCACTTGAGATATTGCCACGCTGATGGGCTGCAGGCTGGCTCGGCGCTCCTTCTTCTTGGGGATCACTGTGACTTTGGAGTTCTGGAAGAGCTTCTCGTAGCTGCTAACGTGGTCTTTGTCTAGAGACCGGATCTCCTCTGCTCTCTGCTTCCTCAGGATTTCCTGCACAGCCAGCCTGCGTTTCCCCACAGAAGGTGGGCTGCCTGGGCACACGGTCCGGCAYGCCAGAGCGATGAAGGGACTTCCCAAGCTTGTGGTCACCTTCACCATGTGGTCAAGGACCCCATCCTCTTCCGGGCCGTAGAAAGACCGGAATGAGACAGCTGCCCTCACGCACTCAGAAATCTTCTGCAAGCAGCTTTTTGGCTCTGCAGCCTTGGCAAGAAGTTCCTTCATTTTTGGCCATTCTGGTTTATATTGGTCAGAAAGCTGTTCTGGGCATGGCCTGTCCATCAGCTTTTGCATGACAAAGGCAGATTCTGATCTTCCCGTGAAACAAGCCCATTCCCATGAAGTCAGCCCACGGCTTGGGTCAGTCGCGTGAACATTTGCCCCTCAAAGAAACAAAACAAAGCAAAAACATAAGAACAACAACAAAAAAACAATTAGCATTAATTATTTAAACCCCCCACACTCCTGTTGCTGTGATCAGAGGCGAGTAAGACAGATCCCTTCAAGACAGTGTCACATAAAAGACACAATAATATTTCTGTCAAAATGAAAATGCAGTAAGGAGAGATTGGGTTCCTGACTTTCTGAACTTCTGATTTATTTAATACAAGAAAGATATTAAGACTGTATATATGAAATTCTTTTAAAATTACAAATAATGAATTTCACCTGCACTTACAATTGACTGCCATTTTAAAATCCATTCACTTGAGCTCACAAAAATATGGAAAGAAACTATTCTCTACACAAAAAGCCTTTCCCATATAGAATAGGGGACTTTGCACCAATCACTGCCACTTGGAAGGAAGCTCTCARGCTAACGATCACAAGTTCCATGGAAATATTCACTTCTCACTACAAGTAAAAACAGCAAATAAATTATAATGAATTTCTAAAAAAGCTTTAAAAATGGAGAAAAATAGAAAGTAAAAGAAGATAAAATAGAGAAAACAACAAACCTGCAATTCAGGCTCTCTTATGTCTGAAATGACCCTGCTGAATCAGKAAATGTTGAGAGGATGGTAACAAGGGGGATCAAATATAAGGAAAGTTTCCATAAATCTCAGAGAGCGGATAATGGGTGAGATTGACCTTCAGTCTGAGTCCAGAACAGCTGTTCTCCTCTACCTGAGAATACCAGCCCTATGGAAATTAAGTAATTGTTAGCAAAAACACTCTGCTATTGCCAATAACAGCAGCCATAAGAGGCAGCTGGGATTCAGGCTACACAGCATAGGCTCATACATTTGAAGAGTTAGGTCCTGGAAGGAAATGATTTCTGGTGGCCTATCTTCCTCCCATTCCCAATTTACAATCTTTATTGCTACAATTCTGACATCTATCTCCATCATGATTATTTTTTTCATGTATTTCTCCATCCTTTTCCATCTTTGCCTTCCTTTTGATCTCTCCGTCTTCCGGTAAGACCCCACACATTGGTTTTTGCCCTTGTTCATCACTCTTTGTTTTCAAGTGGGGTTACATTCTGCTCCTCCAGGGCACTTGGATGCTTGAAAAGAGGGTACAAGAGTAACAGGAGAAGCAGGCGTCCTAGTCTGCTCCATGGTGTACTTTACATCTTCTTTAGTACTATATCCACATTCCTTGGCAACCAAAAAATTGCAGAGGAGTCCTCCCGTGATTTTAGGGTGGGACTGTGGGCATTTGTCAATGAGGGTAGCATGTGCCCTGTCCTGCTGACACAGAAGAGCTCTGTAAAGGACAGAGGAAGCTCACTTCAGAGTACACCCCTGTAAGAATTGCTGCAGAGCACAGAGCAGCACCAACTGGTTCTGAAAGCTGAAGTTGGCAGGACACTGTTGCAAACACCCAACAGATTACAGCTGGTGAATGCTAAAGGATACAAAGGACCTGTCCAAAAACTGGCTTGATGGCACCAATTAAAAAGAATCTCAGGGATGTGTCAAGGACATGACAATTGGCATTGTGTCCTGCGCTTCGCATCCAAGTGATCCCGGACACACCACCTGGGCACACACATCTTGATGTTTTACAGAGTATGGGTATGAAGGTGAACGAAATCAAGAGGAGAATGAGTGAATACTCTCTGGTGTAAGGCAGGCAAGTTCTCAAGCTGAAAATCCTTTGTTTTCTATTCTGCCTTTGAGCTTTGACTGATCTCTGAAGTAGCTTTGCACGTTCCATGCTGCAGGCTGTTCAGCAGGGCTGCAGCCTGTTGTGGGACAGGCATGGGCACTGCGCCCGCCTGCCTTCAACATAACTGAGCTCTGCAACATTCACTCATGGTTTATTCCTATTACTGGCCTGGTAGGTAATTTCTGGGTTTCTTGAAAGAGTCTAAAGATGGGATACAAACAATGTTGGCTTGTTGAAGGGCTTTTTTACCAGATGAAGGATCATTTTCAAACAGCTAAAACAAAACTGATCTACACAGATCTAGTCACAAAAAGAAAAGAGTCTGTCCCATTGCTTTGCAAGATGTCCAGACACCRGAGGAAAAGGTCAGAGAATACCATGATATTTTTTTTTCAGGGTGGATTACCTTGGTGACAGCATTTCAAACCAAAGTAAGGAKGACTTGATAGCAACCACAAACCAATTTGTGACGGGTTCAGTATAACCTTCCCCACAAAGGATGTCTTGTCATTACAGGAAAACAAAGGAAGAAAGAGAGCATAGGAAAACTCATCAAAACCTCAATTTTAACTCTATTAAGTAAATTGCTAAATCTCTGAGAAAATTCCTGAAAAGAGGATGCTATGGACACAGACCAAGAGTGAACGTGGAAGGAGACACCCTTAGCAAAATTGCTGATCACAGTTTAAATGTAATTTAAGTGAAATTTGCAGGAAGGACCACTCAGAGAGAGAGCACCATGACACTGCAGAGAGTTAAGCTTGGGACCCAGAATGGAAGGCAAAAAGGAAGCAAAAAAGAGGAAGAATCAATCAAATCAAAGACTTCACTAGCTGTGGATTGAAGAAAAGTAATTAATACAGGAAGAACAGCAGCTGAAGAAAYTGTCTTCACATACAAATCTTAATTCTCAGCTTGTAAATAAGCAAGAGGTATAAACAGCTGTTTTTCCATTAACTTCAAGAAAAACATTCTCACTCTGATATGRTGCAGCTGTGAGACCTTGGAGCAGAGTAGTTCAAAAAGAGCAGTGTGACAGTGCTCAGTGGGGGCTCCTTGCCTTTGCTTGGGGACTGCACTGAGCTCTCGTCCTCCTCTGGGCTATCCCTGTGCCTGGCCATGTGCCCTGCTGGTTTTGACCATGACCCACAGACTTGATTTCTTGTTTGACCTCAGAGCTATCTTGTCTCTGTGGATTTGCCCTTGTCATTATGGTAATCACTGCAGTGCTGGCTGATCCAGGTTATTGTCACCAGCCCTGCCCCATTACTTCAGGGAGCACTTTTGCTGATGTGGCTGGTGCTGAGGCCTTGCTGTTACCCTTGGCTCACCTCCCTTTGAGGAGGAGCCCACTGCTTCTGACAGATGAGCCCCCAGGTGTTTGGGAAACTTATCTCAGAAAACAATACTACAGAGTATTGAAATCCCAACCTTCCAACAGAAATTGATGATGACTTTGTACCTTATATCACAAAATCTCTTCTAAATACCATTATTTTATTGATTTTCTGCACAAATCAGAAGACATTCCTGAACAAACCTGTCATTTGGCAGAATGCCTTATCTGGGATAGACATAAGTAGTTATTTCCCTTTGTAAATGTGGTAASAGTCTTATTGAACTAATTGTCATTTCACTGTAAGTATAGCCCATAAGTTTTCTTTTATGAAAGCTGCACTTGCCACTTGCCTTGCTTTTCTTAAAGGTTTCCCTGAAGATCATTTTCAGCACAATTAGTTTGAATACACATGCTCTTTTAGGATATCATTATCCTATTTATTAATGTTTAATGTCMTTTGAGATGCAGAACTGGCACCTTGAGTTTAAAGACAGGGCTGAGGAGGTCAGGCATCTGTTACCAGCCCGTTTTATCGGCGGTATTTAAAGCCCACACTCCAGATCCAGGAGCACTCCGACAGCACTACTGAAGCAGCACCAAGTTTACACTGGAGATTACAGCAGGGCTTGACACGTGAATAACAACCAGCATTTCTGGCTGGCTCTCCTGACGAGCGCTGGCAGTGTGGAGCTGGCAGCGCAGCAGCCTGTGACAAACTGCTGGTGGGAGACCCGGCTCCCCCTTCAGCCGCTGTGCACTCACCAAAGCAAATTCACTTGTTCCAAAGACCCCCTCTGAAAGAGCAACATTACGGCCAAGTGTCCCGGAGTGCCTTAATCTTGTAGTGATTGACCTTGGCCCCCCTCCAGGAACTCAMATTTCAGAAAGARCAGTCACTTTGGCAATCCAGCTCCRACCATCTGTCACACATTGCTGTTACCTCCTTCCCCATCTGACTGCGCTAAATCCATGTTTAGGCAGCTAGGGAGGTGAGTTATTCTGCTTTATTGACCTCCTGCATTGATATGAGTTGCTGGCCATCAGCAGAGRTCTTACCCAAGCCACTGAACAGATACTGGTTAAAAAACCTCCTGGCTCTAACTCTTTTCTAGACACACATACCTGCTTTGTAGCTGTGCTAGTAGACCTGATTATGGGTGTTTCCCCTCTATGTTGCATTTTTACATTTTAATATAGAATTGTGCTGTTTTATTTGTGAGATTGATTTTTTCACCGAATCTTTTAATAACGACTTTTTACCTTCTTCAGCACACTAACACTTCATTGTCAGCAGACACTTAAGTGTCCCTTAAGTCCCAAATTACTTCAAAACCCATTCTGAATGAGCATCTCCTGCCTTCCCTCCTTCCATTTCACCAGACTGCACAGTGCTAAAAAATACTCGGATATTAAAAAGGGTGCATGCAATTTACCACACTTTCTTTGTGGCCCCTATTGTGAGCTGAAAATGTGAGGAACTGCAAGTACTCAACCAAAACTGCAATTTAGAAACTCAAGAGAATATTAGCTCTACAGCTCTTTAGTCCATGGAGGATCTTTGRTATCCTCACTATCTCTGATGCACAAACAGGCTAATAAAACTTTCTGGAGGCAAACTCAAGATGGAATTCAAGAAGGCCATTTTCTGGCTGGCTAAAAGGTTTGTTCTCCCCAGCATTCTGCATTCTTACAAATTGTGAAAACAAGAAGTRGCTATTCAGATGCCAGAGGCAGCAACCACAGCAGTGAACTTTGATAGCAATACTTTTTTTTATAAGAATCAGAATAACAAGTACTGAGTAATTTACATAGCTGACAGGGTGTGAAACAACTTCTAGTGACCCAAACAGAAAGAACAAGCTTCCATCAGATGTCTGGTGATAATAACAGGTCATGATACTGTAAGGCCAATTTGACAAGTCACAGGATTGAAGTTTCCTTTTAAGCRATGATTTATAACATGCTCTGGGAAATTCTGAACTAGCATCTGCATGAAATATGTGTGAGTCCAGAAAGTGCATCTGTTTCTAGCTGTACTCGAGCTCTGACAGTAGTTCCATATTTTTTTGTCATAGAAGTTTAACTCTAAAATGAACAATCTTATTCCTAAGCCATTGTTCCAGTGCAAGAGGCTGCAGAACCTTGCAGAAAATAACACAGCAGTTACCACATCATGTTTTCTGTGTCTTATCMATGTCTAGAAACTGGATATTATGAAATGAGTGATAGTAAAATCACCATGCTTGATAAAAGCCTACGACTTAAAATATTCAGATTGTTAGGGGCTAGACTCTTGTGACAACAAAATCACTGGAATGGACTACTTATTCAAGATCTTTTCAGCAAAATGGACCTGTAGGACTCTTGATCTAGACTGTAACACTACTCAGATGCCATTTGTTATTATTTCCATAATATTTAATTTGTGTCAAGTATTTGCAACTGAAAACCAACAATATATGCTAGTACAAGCCAGTTATTTAATTATCATCTAATAGTTTTTATACCAATCACTTAATATAAAAACCCGTACAATACTGTAGCTGAAGATGCTGTACATCACGATTGCTCCTGTACAGGTTCCCACCCCTCAAGGGGCCTTAGAGTCTCCTCTCCAGCACYCCTTTGCCTTGCAGTGCAATACAGCTGGAAATTCAACTGCACCCAAGAGCCAAGAGCCAGAAACAATTCCTGTTCTTGGATGTGAAGACAGWCAGGTGGGCAGAGAGAGAGAGACCTGCTCACTCCCTGTGCCACAGCTCCCTGCTTGCAGCAGAGACARCCCTGCTGGTGCCCTGTTGTCTATAAAATAAACCTGGAGACCAAGCTCAGAGCTATAGAGGCATTAACAAAAAACCTCCAAGTCACCAAATTTCCCACCAATGTTCCCTGTGGGATATGGCTCCTGCACCCAACTCTCGTGACAGGAATCCCAGTTCAAGGCTGAAGTGGAGGTCTGGCTGTGGTCCCACCCTTGCTCTGTCACACACGGAGCTGGCAGCAAGAGACCTGCGTGTCTGTCCCAGCTGTGCCATGAATTTCGCTAACTCCTGTTTACAAATTTGACAACCCTGCTCCCCAGACTCTCCTGGAGACCATCAACCACTCTGAGAGCTCTAGGAGAGTTCCTGCATGAGTTTGTGTAGGCAAACTGAGTGCTTCCACAGCTTGTGCCTTCACTGCCTTGTCTATGGTTTATTTAAAAGCCGCACCCGTTTCCAGGGAAGGCTGTACCACAGCTCCCAGAACAAACACCCCAAGAGCCAATTTTCTTCTGGGTAGCTGCATGTGACTGTCTAGTATTTAGTTAGATGATGACAAAGAAGAAGCAAAGCACTCTGCATACCTGCCATCACCAAGGCTTTCACACATTCCGTTCGGCCCTGCATCGCAGATTTCATCAGTGCTGTGAATCCAAACGCATTTCTCTTCTCAATATCGAGCCCAGGAAAATAGTTCAGCAAATAGTTTGTGATMGTTATGTGCCCTTTAAAGAAACAAAAAAAGCAGAGAAAATATGTCACAGAATGAAGATGCTGTCTCAAGGATACACCAAAATATTACTCCTGCAGATCTGAAAACTGGAAAATGCAGATAATTTATAAGATCTCTTTTTTTGTGCCCTCTTCCACTCATTGCAGTCATCAGCCTTAGGATTAAGTGGCCCTGACTTGTGATCGGAATGTTGGGATAGGAGGTGGAAAACCTGGCTTCCCACCTTCTCTTAAGCTGCTCTCCTTTTTGAAAGTCAGTTTAAGGTAAGGAAATAATTGAGTATCAGAGATGGTCATTCTGAGTTTGCAAGGGGCCCCAGTTTTTTGACTCAGGGAGTAGCACTGCAGAGGGGATCCCTACAGCTTATGGAAGGCCCACCCCCATGGGGAACTGACTGCAAATGTTGAGCTTTTTCTCTTCCCTGGTAAATTTGAGCCTTACAATCCTGGCGCTTCATTAAACTGTGATGATTGTGAGAGTTGTTCCAGCCAACAATGCTAACGAGTCATGCCAGGCTTGATAAACAAGAAAGGAATATTTTGTGCAGGATCCCACATTTTTATTTTTCCGTCTGACAATGGAAAGCCACTTGTCTACTCTCCTGCAGTTGGAAAAAGGGACTGATATTCAGTYTTGGTAGTAAAATCAATTATTTAAGTTCTGTTTCTAAAAGCAACWGTTGTTGCCATTCATGTGCCTTGTATGGCAGGATTACTGGTGTCTACAAGGCTGTACYGAGGATCTGAACACATCTCTGGCTATATGGTTGGAAGACCAATTAAGAYATCAAATCTTTATATTTGGACTATCAGACGAATAGCTAGTGCCATTGTGACTCTTTCAAAAGAGTTTTTCCTTCACTTGTCAATCATTTTATGATGCTTTGATGCTCTATAAAATAATGYTGTCTGTCAGGCAGCTGCAACAATCACAATTCAATTAGTAGGAGCTGTAAAAATATTCTCTCATCTCCCTCTGCAGTCCAGATGACTATTCTGTAATGCGTGCCATTCAAATTCATCTAGAAATGTTACCGAAGCAGATTATAATTTATACAGGACAATTTTAAAAGCATCACATCTGGTGTAGATTTCATCAGCAGTCACTCGTACCAGCACACTCGTCCATTCACTTTGAGAAGCAAGTTAAGAAAATCATTGCCAATTAATTTAATATGTGTTGCAGGTGTTACTCTTTCCTACAATTTTTTGACTCTGTTACCTTTCTGCATAACTGGAGATTCTCATGAAACCTAAGCAGATGTAGAGACCGTGCAGACCAGATGAGCAACTCCAGAGTCATAGAAAACCAAATAAAAATCTCCCTGTACCTTGTGCAGTCCAGTGAGAACAAAATATAAAGATGCAGCAAACCACAATAAGCTGAACAAAGCAGAAGTGAACTGGGTTCAGGGTGGGATCAAGTGACCTGGTCCTGCTTACTCMATACAGAGGTTTCAGCTTCACTGGCTTTATGGCATAAGATCAAATCCTAGCAAGGAATCAGTTACTACTGGGAGAATCTTTGTGCCCAAATTGTTTTGCAAGACATGCTCTGTTTCAGTGCTGTAGACCAYGAGCCTTCATGAAGGTTTTGGAACAGCTACAATACTGCTTTTTGACCACAGAAACCAGAGACAAACTGAAACAAGTGGAAATAACAACATGAAAGATTTTTCAGCAGTTATTACATCACTAAAGATGTTCTTTCCTTTGCCAGAARTATAATTACTTCTGTTTTGGAAATCTGAGGTGATCCGAAGAATTAATCCTGAAAGATCTTGCTTAACCAAAACTCTCCAGGGGAGTAGAAACAGCCTCAAATGAGACAGAAAAAAAATACCAGCAATAAAATAAGAATGAAAACAAAGAAGTTTGTGATTCCCAGAAGTTTCGTGTCTCAGGGATTCCTTAAAACCACTTGTTTTAATCTGGAGGATCCTCTGTCCTCTGAGGTTTGCTTCAGATTTCCAGTTCAAACAGATACCAAATTCAAAGCAAAACTCAGAGCTGCCAAGTTTTTGTTCAAATCCTGTCAAACGCTTTTGATTTAAGGCCATGAAGTTTGCTTTGGTTCTCCTGTGTCTGTACCTAAATTGTAAACCAGGTGAGCCTTTTGTGATGTTAAGTCTGCTATGGAAGCTGTATGCAGCTCTAAAATAAATGAGCCTGGGCTCAGTTTGGTGATAGTGAATTCAAAGCAGGCTCTTGCTGTTTGTAAGCCAGATCCATCTCCTAGCAGAACTGGCATGCTAAGGGCTCACTTCTCCCTTCGAGCCATATTCAGAGATCAGCACAGATGTCTGTAATAGCTTAATTCACTTAATTGCTGCCACAAAGGAAATGCTATAATGATGACAATATCACCTAATAATCGATGTAATGCAGGCAGAAGGATAAGCTGGCRTGTTAGGAAGATGCTTTGTCAAGTAACATTTCTCTTCTGAATTGTGCCTGCAAAACTCTGGTGTTTGGCCTGCAGGTAGTGAGCACTTTCTCACAGATGGATGGAAGCAAGGACACCCAGAACGCTTTATCCTCTGGGTGTTTTAGGTGTTTGTGTTTTCATGTATTTCTTAATAAACAGAAACTGGGATAAATTCCAACTTTGTGCTACCAGCTCTATAGCCTTGTCTCAAACTGGTGGCTGTAACATAAAACATCTAAACTTTGTAAGCAAATAAATCTCCCTCTGAACACCAGCACATGCCAATGACTATACACTGATGTAGCTGTGTCCCCAGCAGCAGCAGAACTGAGAAACAAACAAAAAGTAATTTCCCTCCTTTTTCTTTTTTTTTTTTTTTTAAATCGCTCTCCTTCCTTTCTTTCCCCTTGTTATTTCAACTGCTTGTTTGTATCAGTCTCCCATTTTTTTCTCCATTGTCACCACAATGATGTTTAATGATTTTGCTTCTCTTTCAGCAGCATCACCACCCATTTCTGGGCACCACCTGCAGCAGACTGCAATGTATGTACAGTTCTGGAAGGCAAGCTCTCTTTGAAAAGAGGTGTAAGAAATAGGAAATAATGAGAAAGCAGGTGAATAAACCAATTTTCAAAGGTGAAATTTACACCGCAAGCAGAGCACTTTGTGGTTATTTTTTAATATTAATAAGCTTGTTAAGGAAGTACTACTTTTCAATGATTCCTCCAACCCGTCTTTCTCAARCGATCCCATGCAGAAAACTTCAGCCGTAGAAACTTTTGGAGGATGAGAATCTCAAATTATCAAAAGCAATATGAGGAATTGAACTCACTTATTTTCTGAGACTCTAGCTGCTCATTAATTTAATCCTATTTAATTCAAGCTGATGCTGATATTTGAGCATCGTRTCTGGGCAGTCATGAAATGACATAGGCAAGTGTGGATTTTAAACTCCTCAGCACAAGAGACCTCTCTGTCATCTCTTTTGCTTTCCATACTTCCTAATACAGATGCAGGGACCACAAGGAATARTTCCTCAACACAACACCCTTTTTCCCCATCCAGCTCCTCTTTGGGGTCTGGCCATATATGATGGTTCACCTGGTTAGTGGATCGTAACAAAAATAACAGCACTTTCTGAAACCTTCAAATACCACCTTACAAATAACTGAAATAATGTGGATTTGCTGTTAGACTTTCCACAGGGAAGTATAAATGACAGTGATCTCAGAACACTTTATTTTGCAAAAACGTTATTACTTTCACAGCCTAAAGTGAATCTCCCCCCCACCCCCGCCCCGCAAGAAATAAATTCTTCACTAAAGGCAAGCTTGCATAAGCTTTCAGGCCTTTATAACACACTGCTCACTATTGCTGCTCAACACCCAGCAGCAATGAAGCAGCATCTATTGCWCTGCAGCTCCTCTGGTTGTGATGTTAACCTCACAGTAATGTCTATTAACACTATAGCAGTAGCTTGGGATAATTAAATAACTGGTGTAAATACTGTAGCTCAGGATTAACACAGGCAGGGGAAAACATCCAAGTTGTTGGGGGGCTGCAAAAGGCTTCTGCTGACTACAGTCATTTCCAGTTGCTTGGGGATCAATAGCAAGTACTGGCAGAGGGTATCAAGTCAATGTCAACCTGCTGGATTAACTCATTATCATGAGTTAATGGTTGGCAGTATTAAACCTTTTTTAGTCCAAATTTATATTAGGGCAGATAAATAAAACTAGATTAGTGTTTTGGTGCTTTTCTACCTTCTTTAGAAAGCTACTGTACTCATGGCTTAGCTACGAATGTGCCTACTGTGGTCACAATTCTTTCGTTCAGGATTCAAGACCCATCCTGCAGTAACTTCAGCAGAATTCACTTTTGGTACAACAGAAAGCAAGGTTACCTGGAAATGTCCAGTGGCAYCATAAACTGACATGAAAACCAAACTGCTCCAACCTTTAGAYATGGCTTGTAAYRTCCAYTGATATTCCCTGAYRGAAATTTGTTTCCTTGAGGCAGCCRGTGTCTGGGAGTGAGGATCATGTCCCATGAACTCCCACAAACATCCCATATTCCTCACAGCCAGAGGACATGATAAAGGCCAGGTGTGAATTTCCTCATAAAGCGACTGCCTTTGTGGAGCGCACTCAAAGAATGCAAAGGAAACAAGGGATGGGGAGCTAGGCAGCCCCTGGAGCAGCTTTTAGACTACAAAGCGATGGCATCTTTCCTTCAAGAAATTTTTTCTGATTTACATGCTTTAGCACTTAGTTAACACTTGTTAGAGGAAACTAAAGCGTCCCTTAAAGATTAAAGCACAGCCCTTCAGTTTTAAGAGAAACAATCAAAGTATTGTTTTCTAACTGAATACTGGAAACAAGGAACTCCTTTGAGAGTTTCTCTAACATCTCTAAGTGATCTGTTACACTCGTTCACTGAATATTACCATGCTGGATGGGATAAAAGAAAACCCAGTGCTAAACCGTGCTCTCACTCCAGCCTGCGTCAGGATTAACGTGGTCCGTGCAAATATCTTCTGTTTCCGAAGGATCATTGGCAAATACTAAATCCTGCCGAGGATTTTTTTTTCTTTTTAACTACAGAGTGGATGAAGCATGTCTTAGCAGCTAAGGTATTTCTCAATGATGTTATGTTTTCCTACAGTCATCAGTTACTACAGACACCTCTGAGGTAAGTGCAGCAAGCATGGGAGGAAAGCACTAATGCAGCACATTACATGTCCACAGTGTTCACATGCTGCTTGCCAGTGCAAACATCAGAAAATCACCTTAAAGGAACAAAGCGGTATAACACTGCACACTTGGGACAAGATTTTCTTTCTTTTAAAGTTAAAATAATTAATGGCATCCACGGAAAACATGTAGCTTTTGCTGCTTTAATCTATTGGATAAATAATACTATAGATCACTTAGTTCAAAGAAAATAATTACAAACTTCCTTGGGGTTGGTCTTAGCTAGGATTATTTTATGGGATTATTTTAGGGATTTGAAAGAAAAATCCTAAAAAAAAAAACATAGCCAAAACACATACTCTTCCTAAGACCTTCCACATAAGACGTGATGCAGAGAGCCTTACCTGCCTGTGCAGCTGTAATTAGAGCCGTGTTCCCTTCGTTGTCCTGCCAGTTCACATCGAGGTGAGGGCATTGTGCTAAGGCTATTACAATGTCCACATAACCTTGGTAACAGGCAACGATAAGACCATTCTGTAAGTAAAATATAAAAGGAGAGTTAGGATTGCCAGACTGAGAAAAGTTCACTGAAGAGGCATGCTAGATTGCTTTTTTATATTTTATATTTTTTTTATATTTTATTTATTTCTTCAGACTGAAGAACTGAAAAGGTATCAGCAAAACTAGTGACTAGCTCCAGGCACAATGTTCAGATCCAAAACACTTCTTTTAATCTCTGCCCTTTGGCAAGTAATGTTTGATACTCCTCAGAAACACCTAAGAGAGTAGGCATTACATTATGCTACATGCAAACTGTTTATAAATGGCTTATGCTTATATGGCTATATACTCTATACCCAAATGAGAATAAATCTGGTTTTATTATATAATAAAATGAACCCAGCAGGTAAGATGAACTGGACCTGCTCTGAATATTAATTCTCTGAAAAGCAACTACTTGTTCCAGGTAGGGGAAGTGGTAGGCAGGAGTTGTGTTCATATTGCCTGTTGCTATCTTTAAATAATTCAGGTTTCCCATTAGAACTATGCCTCCTTTTTTATAATCATAAATAAAATTAAATTGCTTTTAGAGTTCCTATTTAATGTGCTTTATGACAGCTGGAGGCTGTAAAATTTCCAGGAGGAAGCCAAGCCAGGAGGTAAACCTTGTAACTACGCTTGGCACCCAGARAGCATTTCACTCCACAGCAGCAAACTGACAGCTCCCCTAAAACACAGCAAAATACACTTGTCATTAATTAAATGGAACCAYGGTACTTAATCCTGGCTGCTCACTTGACCACTGGGATTAAAGCCATTATCTCCGGTCTTCGGGATTACTTGGGCAGCCCTCGTTCATCTGGGGCTGATGGGTGTAGYGGAGGGCAGGCGCAGATAAATCAGCGCTCCCTGCGCTCCCTCCTCTCTGCCAGCGCATCCCTCACTCTGCTTGGGCTCAGCGGGAGCATCTGACTGCCCACAGGATAAGGGCAGAGTCACAAATCTCAGACTCCCCGGTAACMCTGCCTGCCTGAAATGCACTCACACAAAAGACTTGCAAGGAGAGCCTGGTTAMGAAAACAGAACGGCCCACCCTGGCTGCTCCATCATTTTTCTCTTGCCTACACATTCCCTTTATTTCTCTTCCCACAAGCGTTACTAAGACAGACATGTTCACCAGATGACCATTGTGGCTTTTGATTTATTGTCATCACAACTAGTTAGTTATTGTTAGTAGCTACCATCTCTAATTCAGTGTCCTGTTTCACTCTTATTCTGGATAGCTCTGTTGGTTTAGGCAACAAACACTTTCACTGAGACACAGAAGTGTKATCTACTCTGTAGGCTGCTCACAGGCTATGTAGGTTATTTCTCAATTACATCTTTCAATAAAATAATTACTCTCCTTTCTTTTATTCTCAATTCACTCTTGCCCTCAGCATGAAGCAACACCTACCATTGCTTTATAAAAAGCATCTTCATTTCCTTGTGAAGAACCTCTAATACTTCAAARCCTTCTATTGAAATTGTACAAAGGATTCTGATAAAAGTCATGTATTTTTGAGGTTTTTTTTTCACTAAACGCATGTACTTTCCTGGTGAGATTGTTCAGATTAATCCYAGTTTTACTGTAATGTAATAGTTTTTAGCTTTTAAGAAAAATGTGTCAATGTCTACTTTGTAAGGACTTGAGCATTATTTTAGTTCTTTATTAATTTAATTTTCCATCCRATGTTCAGGATATAGGTCTTTACAACTCCAAAAGCTGTGCAGATTTAAAACATTGTGCTGTCATTCAGTAAAATGTCTGTTAATTATGACAGCAGAAAATTACGTTTACAATTGGAGACCAAAAACTTTTGACAATAAGAAAGATTCTATTGTTCACTGAAAAGAAAAGGCATTTTTGAGGAGAGTGATAGTTTCAAAGACTGTAAGAATAACTAAAAGTAGCTACAATCCCTAATTTTAAAAGAAAAACCTATTTTGCCCAGTATCTGGAGGATATTTTCACARTAAATTTTCACAGAACATTTTTGTGTTCTAAAAATAGTTACCAGATGCTTAGAATGAAGGTTCTTTTTTTTTTTGTTTGTTTTCTTTGTAAATGAATAAAGTTGAATTATTGCAAAAATATGGTAAAATATTGTAMATAAAGTGAATGGCAAACAGTTGCTGCTTTTTTTTTTTTGCATGTGGGTTTTGCATGACAGTGTTCAGGGACCTTTGTCCTATTTTTAGTAGGTACCTCCATCAGATAGAAACTAATGCTTCTAACACTGGCATTCTGATTTCAGCAGATATGAGCCAAATCAATCAAACTCACCCACCATTCTGAGTTTACAAACCAGAAGGATTACTTCGGTGTCAACATTTTCTGAAGTTTATTTTCCAAAGATGCTATCAAAAGCTGCTTGCTAAAGGATAAAGAAAGGCAACAGAGAGTAGGAGCTTTCTGARGGATTACATGATGCAGTAGCACGGAAAATCATTCTTGAAGGATGGTTATACTCATCTGAAGTGGGCCAGATAAGAGTGAGAGAGCCTGATACTCAGTGGAGTGTACACCCAGCAGTCCCTGGCTGAGAAGCAAAACCAGCAATGGCTTGGTGACATAAAAACAAGTCCCTTCTGTAAAGCTGATGTGGTTTTTCACCCATTATATGTCCCTAGGGAGTGGATGAGACAGACTCCTTGCTGAGAGACTGCTTTCCTTTGCATAACYCTTCCACATGAGCCAGGTAAGGAAATGGGGTGCAGGAGACTGCAGCTTTACACTGAAAATTCCCATAAACCTCTGGATTTGATGGTTGTTTCCCAAAACCTCATTCAATCATACAATTTGTGTTATCACATTGTGCTTTTTTTCCTATTTTTTTACTTTACATTAGTTTCTGGCCCTGTCAATATTTTGCTTGCTGAGAGCCAGTGCAAACAAATCACCTGGCATGCACAATCAGTCAAYATCAAAGTGAGTTATTAGTCTGGAATCTTTAAGTTCATATACCAATAAATACCATAATATATTAAAAACTCCTTCAACAGTCTCAATTAATAATGTGATACRAAATCACCTCTAACAAATTGCCTTTTGAAGCAACCAGTAAAGCAATAGCCTGCATCACAGCGGTCTGCAGGAAAACACAGCTGTTCACTTAATGTCTTTGCAAAATCTAAAACTAAATGAGTTTTACTTAGAAAATACTGAACCTGAGAAATCTGGTTATCTTCAGAAGAGAGATGACATTAAAGTTCTACCAAAGGCATCTATTATTCTGCTCCTTATATGAAAGGCCATGGTGCAATTATGAAATTGTCAGTGTACTTGAAAAAAAAAGTATTTTTTAGATTGAATCTTACCATTATTTTTGTCAGTAAGATCAATTCTCAGAAGTGCTCACTACTTGTAAGAGCTTTAGGAGAAAGGAAGGTTGATAATTCTTAAAAGTATGTCCTCCGCCTAAAAGGGCTTTTCTCCTTCAGCATCCTTCCCCTCTTTTCCCTTTTGTATGTCCTCAAATACCACTTATTTTAAATAATAATAAAAACTCAAACTAYTCCCATTAATATATAATACTAACACCAGTTATTAGACAGCATAACTGTACATATGTCACAGCATGCCAGCACAGTATCCCTGCTTTTCAAGGATACTCTTTTATCTGACTTGCTCTCTCCCAGTCAGTGGCCAGGGTTGTTGCCCATCATTCTCCCAGACTAATGAAATAGAACAGGCAAAAAAAATCCACTTTAATCCTCTGGGTATAAGAGATGTAAAATATGAAACAAGTTTTGCCACAGATCCTATTCATTTTTCAAATATCACATACAGACRCTGTGACAACAAGAAAGCATGAGTGATCCATCACACCAACTACATTAACATTTACTGTAGTTTTTCCACAGAAAGGGAGGTTGAAAGCTCAGTAACAGGGTTTTTTTTTTTCAAGTAGAAGCAACAATACTTCCAAGTGGTGGGGACTCTRTCTTTTCTCTGTGGAATATTTGACATTTCACAGAGCTTTCCCACAGATTTTCTGTAGTATGTGATGTATCCGATTTTTTGTGTAACTAATATAATTTGGAAGACCCCCCCTTTGTTTTGAAAGAGCAAAACTAACAATGTTTAGAATATATGACAAAACACTCAGCCTGGGATAAATTACTTATTTTTCATATATTCTAAATAAAGTATAGCTACTTCTCTTTTCTTCTCACAGTACACAAATTAACAAAGGTAATCGGATGTTACAACATTCTTCAAGCAGTGAATCTTTTGMTCCTGTTTAAATTGATAATTTCTCGTGTGCCTTTGAGGTCATGCAAGATTGGAATAGCGCTGCCACTATGAAAATAAACTCTGTTTTTCTCAGCTGTTTTGGCTAATGGCATAATAACATGTCTGATTAAGTGAGGTCATGGATATCTCAGGACACAATTTTATAAATCATATATGATGACAAAATCACAAATGTAAGGCGATTTGTATGCTAGATCATCACAGATAATAGACATCACAAGAAATACTCAATGATTAATAATGAACTCAAGCTGAAAAATGAGGAAATCACATACAGCATGCAATAATTTAGCTTTTTAAAAAGCTCTCCAGACACCTTATTTTCCACCAAGATGCTGAGAATGAAAACAGCTTATTACAGTTTTTTTGCCAGTTACCCAAGACAAAACTTAGTCTGGCAAAAGACTAAATTGATATTAYCCATTGCTCTCCATAAACATAGTGATAAACAACTGTCCAGTTCACTTTGCATGCATCTGTAAATATTAATTACAATTCTACAAGACTGGTTTACTAGCAGTGATTAAAACCACATGCAATAGAATTAAATGAGATAATGATTTATTGTAATCCATTATCACRTGCAAGGACAACTATGAAAATTACATCTAAGCCAAAACATGTTATAGAAAAAATACCAAAAGCAGTAGAAATGGAAGAATAATAAAAAATAAAGAATTAAAAGTTGTGTTTAAACATTCTTTTGTTGATACATTAAAATAATAATTTATAT